CCCTGCAATGACTGCTCGAAACGATAACCAGCATAAGAGTGCTCACTTTGTTACTGCAAAGTCCGCCAATGGGTAGCCTACCTACTGCAGCTTACCCTGTACTATGACCACACCGACATCCATGGTAGGATACCCAGTATAACAATGAACCAGATTCAGTAATTCACAAAATCGAGTGCAATGATGGGGAAACAAACACAAACATTTCATTCCATATCTCCGATAACAAATAACAATTTAGAGACGACGTCCTCTGCGTCCTCCCTTTCGTCTGGTTTGATCTGAAGGAATAGGAGTAACATCTTCAATACGTCCGATCTTCATTCCACTGCGGGCCAGAGCTCGTAGAGCTGCTTGCGCACCAGGGCCAGGAGTCTTGGTCTTTGTACCACCAGTGGCGCGAAGCTTGATGTGAAGAGCATTGATTCCCAACTAAAAATATATAATTGTGGTGTGGGTAGAAAATGAACAATACTTAAACAAGAAATGGGATGTTCACAAATAAACAAACAAATAAAGTAAGCGAAAGGGGATCAGGGGTAAGAAACAGATTTGGGGTACCCCCAGGAGGCCCGTCGCGCGGCAAGAAGGCAGAGTCGCGGACGAGTCGCAGCGCGTGATGTGCGATGTAGGACGTGCAATGGGACATTCTATTTAACTTGACGCGAAATCCCTTATACGCGCGCGACGGCACTATTTACCCTTTACTGCCCCACTCCTCGAGAACTGAGCCGGATTTTTATCGAAATTGGTCATTGACTGTGAATTTGGCTAGAAACTTGCCTTCGGGGGTAATTCGACCCGTAGAACACGAATATCACATTTGTTTACCGCTAGAACGCCTGGCGCTCGCGTCAGAAGCGCCGGCGCCAAAAGGCGCCAGAACATCTCGGATCCCCAAATTCGCTGGAAAGTTGTCCTCAGAGGTATTTTGACCCGTAGAATATGATTATCACATCAGTTTGTTACGAGTGAACCTGTAGCCTGCGCTACGAGCGCCCGCGCAAAACTGTTGTGATAGCGCCGGCGCCTGTGGCGCGGGCGCCAAGCGTTTTCGCTCTAAACCGGTATTATATTCGTGATCTACGGGTCAAATTACCCCTGAAGGCAAGTTTCTAGCAAAATCCACAGTCATGGACGAATTTCGATCAAAATCCGGCTCAGTTCTTGAGGAGTGGGGCAGTAAAGGGTAAATAGTGCCAAGATGAACACTTTATCCGACGTAAAATGTCGGCCTTCGAAGCCTAAGGCTGGTGTCAGTCCAAGCGGCTTCGTCGCAGGTTTCGCTGATTTTCGCGACGCGACGGGTCACGGAAATCACACAAGTGCCCGATCAATACTGCAAGGTGTTCTCCAATCCTGCCGCCACTTCTGCTTGATAGTGATGGCTGAATGACGACTGCGCTCATGATTCCACTTGTTTCATATTCAGTGTTTCAAATGTTCAAATGGGCACTTGCAATTTTTGCGAGTCTGCGAGAGATGGCAGGTTTCGCGCAAATCGCGAAAATCTGCGACAACATCGCGAAAATCTTGCGACGGAGCGCGAGCTCGGAACACCCACTGCCCCCCAGAATCCGCATCAAAGCAGCGAACTCATTTCGAAAGTCCTGCATAAGTGGTGTTGCAAAAACATTTAAGTATACCTAATAGACCACTTCAAGTATGAAATAAAAAAACACGTTGAAGAGCAGTATGATTATAAAGGTATCCGCTAGTACATGGAACACTACGCATGATAAACCACCAAGTCTAAGCTGGCAACGTCTCGTAAATTGGAATGGGACCAAAAGCAAAGACACTCCCCTCAGCTACAGCACACGCTTTGTTTCCGCAGTGCTCGTTCGTGTTCCCTGTGCTACTAGAACAGCAGGTAGAGGGTTGTACATAATTCATCCTTGAACTGTAGTCTCTATCAAAGAGCTTCTCTCATGAAGGGTTTTTTGCTCAGCAATTGAATCTGCCCTAATTTTGGATTATTTCAACTGCACTGAATGTATATAAACTGTCATTACTCCCATGATACCAGAAAAAAATCATGAATGCGGACTTGGCTATCCTTTCAGCGGAACCGACAGCCGCTTTAACACGTTGACGACATCGCGCGTTTTGGGTTTTTGCACCGCGTGGGACAAGGGCGCTTTTGCGAGCGCGGCCGTCACACCTCACACCCGTAAATTTCGAACGATAACTTTGGGAAGCTTCAAAGGTACGAAACCATTTCAGCAATATTCAATGCGTAGAAAGTAATCGAAGATATAGTAGCGAAATTCCGATCAAAAAACGTGAAATGGTAAAGAAAATGGAAATTTAAGTCATTTTCTCTGTAGTGGATGCCAAAAGCTCTTTTGATGTGGTTGTACCAAGTGAAACATATATTTTTCTATCCCTTTAGATTTGTATTTACTTTCACTACCCTTTTTTACTTGACATGTTCATGAGAATAGGAAGAAAACGAGGAATGAACCGAGCTGCCAATTCCGCTGTGCTTGAAAACTTCTGCTAAACTGGAGCATATTTGATCATACCGTGACCCATGTCGTTTACAGTTATGTTATGTTGTAATCCATAGAATAGAGACAAACAAATTGGGAAGAAGCCCGCATGCGCTAGAAAAAGGGATGACAAGGGTGAGACGCGGTACCGCGTCTCAATGTCCAACGAGGTGCGCAAAGTGAGACGCGTTACCGCGTCTCAATGTCGTCAATGTGTTAATAGCATAATCGTCGATTTTTTAGTCGATACGTATGCTTTCTTCTAGAAGGATTCTCAAGATCGCAGAAGTCGCGAGCTATGAACAGCGTCTAATGAAAAATCCCAAGATTGAAGCCCATAACACGCATCCTAAGACCATACATTGTTTCGCACATACGCTCTTTTGTTCAAAGCCATAAACTTAGCTTAAATTCTTGAGAAAAAAAACCACATTCGCAAATCTCAACTAAATGACACGCATACAAGTTTTTATGAAACGGACTCTAGCTACAGTTGCCGAACAATCAGAATACTGCTGAAGCGTAAGCGGAATTCGAGTCATAGAAAACGTTCAACTGGAACTGTCTAAACGTTACATAAAGGAAACTAAAGACCGAGCAAGCAGAGAGAATGAAAGGAAGTGAAAAGGACGGATAGAGAACTTAGAAAGAAAATGACACTACTAACATAACTTCAATGTCATCGCGATGACCAAACGATAACAAGAACGTCACTTCTGCTGGAATTTATTAGGTTGTCTCATAAATAGTGTCGCTTTTTTTCAACCAAAAAATTTTCATCTAAATCCCCATGCTTTTACATCGAGTCATATACCATTCGAAAGAGAATTGTCTGCTCTACAAGAAGTGTTCTTCTTCCACCTATGTTCCAGGTTTTCAAATTTTAGGCCTGCGAAATGGGAGGTCCAGCCGACAAAAATTGACCAAACCGACAACTAGCTCTAACTTTATTTTCCCTGGGAGAAATCAATCAATGATGTACCCTCTACTTACTCATGACCTCTTCTGAACATTCCACCCTTAGGTTGCCGAAAAAGGTTTGCCCTGTTTCTTTTCGAATTGGCCGACCGATAAGCCATGGCAATTTTCAAATTGAAATTCTTCCTCTGAAACGCTATTGTTTTATATCAACTGGTGTATCTTTTGTGAAGCACTTCTTCTGCTCTATTCGCTTCATCTGTCTTTGTTCTTATTTATTGAAGGAATTAGCTGAATTTTTAGGTGTTTAGGAGTAAGGTGCTTTATCCACGAAAGTGACCGCATTTCTTTGAAAAAAATTATCCTTGAGAAGATGAGAAAATCAACCAGGCGTACATTCCTAACTTAGTCATGACTTGTTCTTGAAATTCTACTAGTTTTTCAATGTCTCAGCTATAAAAAACTTCGACATCAGATCTCTCGATGGTGCTTGACCGTCGAGTTCTGGTTGAAAAACCAGGTCTGAAATGGAATGACGCGACTTGTTGGGAAACCTAATAGTGTAATGTTTAGAAGAGGTCATGCATAAGTAGAGGGTACAGTATTGATTGATTTCTCTCAAGGGAAGATAAAGTTAGAGATAGTTGTCGGTTTGGTCAATTTTTGTCGGCTGGACCTCCCATTTCGCAGGCCTAAAATTTGAAAACCTCCTGGAACAAAGG